CAGACAGACAGACAGACAGACAGACAGACAGACAGATGTATTATATTATTTGTCATTATTATATTTATTTAAATTTTGTCTACGTACCATTTGTGTCGGATTCAACAAAATATACGAAGTTTATTTTAACTAAGTGCTCCGGATGTTGGCAGACAATCTGAGCTAAAGTGTCCTTCGTTACTTTCTCGTACTCCAACTTGCATAATGGGTGGGTGAAATTTTTAAAAATAACCATTGCGGAGTTAGTTACCTTCCCGTCACTCACCTAGTAAATAAAATTTTTTTAGAAATATTTACAATCTTTAATTTTATGAAAGTTCAAAACTTTAAACAAAACAGACCTTTTTTAACAAAAGTTAATAATTAAAACAATTTCACAATTTCATCATGTGTGTTTAGTTAAAGATATTATGTCAAGATTTTTGCAATAAACTTATGCGAAGTAAGTTTAACACTTAACCATGCAGCGAATTGAAAATAAGCATAATTAATATATATTGACGCAAATCGGTGGCGAAACTAGAAGCAAAAGAACCCAGAAAATGTTTGGCCCATCGAATATATATATATATATATATATATATATATATATATATATATATATATATATATATATATATATATATATATATATATATATATATATATATATGTGTGTGTGTGTGTGTGTGTGTGTGTGTGTGTGTGTTTGTGCGTGTGTGTGTGAGGTGAGCGGGTGAATGTATTATTTGCATTATTATATTTTATTTTTGTGTGCAAATCGGTGCGTGAATGTTTTACCGGACATCGGCTATGGTGTTTCCCTTCCGGCCAAGGGCAGGTATTTAAGGTCGAGTGGCCGCTGAGATTAGTCCTTTTTACCCTATAGCCAAAATGTAGATCTGGTCAGTTTCGTATTGGGCGCTTGGCGCACCTCGTGCGTGGAAATATTTGTCTTTTTTTTTTTTTTACAATATTTTATTTTTATGTGTGAGCTATGAAAGCAGCTGCCGATATGTTTCTCGTTTTCTTACTTTTTCGACTAAAACGAGATAGATCTAGTAGTTATCGGCAGGTCTGGTACAACGTGGTGTGTTCTTTTTGTTGATTTTATTACACGTTATTTTTAATTTGCTAGTTACATTGTTTATACTATTTTATTAATCCTGATGGCTTATTTAACCCTGTGGGGTACAATGGCGTTCTTGGTAAGACTGTGGTTGGACGTGTTTTAAGAATTGATATTAATAGTATTTTACTCGAGGCTTTCTTTCGAGTTTCTTCGAGGCATCTGTTTGGGTAGGGGGGGGGGGGGGGGGGCGCTAACCTCCCCCCCCCCCCAACGAAGAACATCTAAGAGAAACACTATCTGTATGATTGAGGTTTAGCGGCCAAAAGTAGGAAACGGGTCAAGATTATAGATGTAGGGTCTACCGTTAGTCTGTATGATCTACAAATGCAATCATTGTTTCTTTCTGACTTTTTTCCTCCACGGAGTGGGGGGGGGGTGGAAAGGCGTACTTGAAATATTCAGGGTAGGGGGGATGTGGACTAAATTTTCTGTTGAGAAGAGCTGATGCTAATAAAGAATACTTTTTTATGTAAATTATATTTCGTAATATTTCGGTGATGTGGGGGTTGAGTCTATTATATCTATACAGAGTATAGAGGAAGTATTGTAATCGTTCACAAAAATCACATGAAATCTTGACAGTTTTCATGTTTTACACCTCATTACTTCATCATATACGGAGTATAGGGGACTTATTTAAATCGGGCAAAAATTCTAAATCCAGATTTATCAAAATTTCGGCGTTTTATGCGTAATCGAGTCGGAAAAACAGGACTTGGCAATTCTATCCGCGTGTATGTATGTGTGTCTCTGAACACCATAACTTGTATTCTGTTTCAGTTAGGTTGATGACATTTTTTCATAAATAAGTATACTATCAAATTTGTAGTTCTGTATCAACTTTTCAGCGATCTCCGATAACCAGAAGTGGATTTTATTCTACTTTGGTTTTTCATGTGCTAAATTGTCAAAATTAATCAAAAGGCTTTGGATCTTAAATTGTAAAACATAGAAACTCTATTGCCAATTATAGTTTTCTATGCATAAGCGTGTGTGTTTGTTGATAATGATAATCAAATATCTGACTTACAGTGACGTTAAATCTAAGAATTGTTGTCTGTTCTAAGAAGAATGTAGGAGCACCAAAATAAAAGTATCCGTAATATGTAGGTTTATATCCGGGAATGAAAACCAATTCACTAGAAGTTCCATCTCTCGCTCCTGTAGAGGGGGGGGGGGGTCAAAATAAGAAAACGTAAGTATTGACGTTAAAAAAGAGTAAATATGAATTTGAAACGAAGATTTCTGTAATATGGAAAATGACATTGGAAAGGAACCCTTATTTTAACTGAAAATAAACCTAAATCTAAACCTAAACCTTTAAACCGGATTCTGAACTTTAACTGGAGTCGAAAATGAATGGAAAACCATTTTTTAACTGGAATCTTATCAGAAAACTTAACCGGACCTTGAAATGTAACCGCTACTCTATTTTATTTGGTGCCATAAATTAAACCCGATCCAGATCAGGTTATTGGCCGGAATTCAAATTTAAACTGAAACATTAACAGGAAACGGTATTTTGAATGGAAATTTAATCGTAACCAGACATTTAACCGAAATCAGAACCTTAATAGGTACGAAATTTAACTGGAAGCGGAACTTTATTCGGAACCGGCATCTTAATCTAATTCAGAAATGTTACCTGAATTAAAAAACCTGAACTGGAAATGTAACCTCAAATGAAACCCCTAGTATCCCTAACCTTAGCAATAATCTTAATACTAACTTACTATATTTTACTTTTACTTTATTTTTTTTATATATCTAAATACAATCTATATATATAATTCTCTTCTGGGAGCCGCTAGAAAACAAGCTGCAAACGCGCCTAGAAAACAAGCTGTAAACGCGCTCCCTACCTCCCCACCCCTACATGGTTTTAGTGAGCTGTGTTCACTCTAAATGTTTACAAGCAGAGCCAACGATTTTAAACTAAGGGGGGGGGGGGGGGAGGAAGGGGGTGGTTATGGTCCTTAACGAGCTACTTATAGTGTTTTAAAGAAATATTTTCAGTGGCAGCGTTGGTACTGTCGAATTCACAAATTAATGAATTACTGAAAAGTAGAAAAAACAACAACTAAATAGCGGCGTATGTTATGCCGCGGGCCGGCTCGTTTTTAATAAACCGGGAAAGATCTCCCCTAAACTTTCTCGAATTTTCTTATATGAAACAACAGGGGATGGCAACTGGGGATATAAAAATAATTTTTAATCCATTTTAAATACTTAAATTTTTTACTTTCTCGTATATACGAATTGCCTATAGAGAAAGTCTTGTAATCGTGCAAGGTTGATGAAATTTTATATGTAAGTATTTTATCAAAATCGTAGATCCGTATCAACTTTTGAGCGATTTCCGATAACCGGAAGTGGTACTTTTTCTACTTTGAATTTTTCAAAAGCCTATAACTTGAGTACTATTTCAGATAGATAAATAGGGAAAATCAAACAACTGCTGCCTTGTAGTTTGTTCTTGGTTGGACAAAGGCTATGGAAGCAAATCCAAAAAAAAAGCAGGCTGAAATCGGAGTCAATGGCCTCAATGGCGCATAACCAGTTGACACGTAATCCTTAATTGTAATGGAAGCATGGTCGAGTCGGCAAAAGCTCATGGTTGATAAATTCAAAAATGTCTCGAGTTCAAACCCTCTGGCAGATAAGGTTAGATCCCTCCCAACACTAAAAATTAAGAACGAAGAAGAAGACGATGATAGATAAATGAAATTTCCCATGTCAGTAAAAGATGTAATTCTCTGTCTTCTGTCAAATTGTGAGTAATTTCCGTTGACCGGAAATAGTAATTTACGCTATTTTCGTTTTCTCAAAAAACTAATGTAAATTTAGAAACAATATTGCGCGCTAGTATGCACATTTTATGTGGTGTTCACTTGGTGTGCAATTCTTTTTCCACGAGATTTTATTCTATTTTAAAACGTTCAAGTATTTAAAATTGATTAAAAATCATGTCTATATCCCGAGTTCCCATTCCCTGTTGTTTTATATAAGAATATTCGAGAAAGTTTATGAAATTTCATATATAAGTATTATATCAAAATCGTAGATCCGTATCAACTTTTGATAATCGGAAGTTGAACTTTTTCTACTTTGATTTTTTCAAAAGCCTATAACTTAAGTACTATTTAAGATAGATAAATGAAATTTCACATGTAAGTAAAAGTTCTAATTAGCTGCCTTCTTTCAATTTTACGCTATTTCCAATTTCTCAAAAAAAAAACGCATGTGAATTTATGAAGTACTAATAATATTTATCACTATTATGCACATTTTATATGGCGTTCACTTGGTGTTCAATTGTTTTTTTACGAGATTCTATTCTATTAAAAATGTTTAATTAAGTAATTAAAAATGGATTAAAAATATTGTCTACGTCCCGAGTTGCCATCCCCCGTAGTGTTCTATTAAAATATTTGAAAGTTTAGTGGAGATCGCTCCCGGTTTATTACATCTAATATTTCTAAAATATCTGCTTTCTGACTACTGAGAGGAAAATAATAGTCAGGATCTAGCTAGAGCACAATTTCTCTTAATTTATTAAGTTTAAACGTAAACTAAATTACACCCCCCTCTCTTTTCTGTATTTGACATGGTACTTTAGGGGCATGTGTTATACCAGTGTCTGATAATGGCACAATAATATTATCTTCTTTGAAAAGTGGTGCTAGGGGATTAGCGGTTTCACTAAATAGACATGTCTCTCTAATGCCAATGCTAACCCTATCCCTAACCCCAACCCTTATCCCAAACCCTTATTTCTAACCATAAAACTAGACTTTAGATTACATAACTACTAAAAACCTAACTGTAAGACACCGAATTTCAGACGAGTCTGTAGTGGGACATAATGCAGTTGCTTGACTACATTACATTAAAACTTACTTGGTGTAACTTTTAATTTCCCAAACATGTTTAAGTCATATTGAATGATATTTATATTTCCGTCGTACGTTTCTTCAGTTGATGCTGAGACTTCTGTGATCAAGAAATAACAGTCGTACACATTAAATATATACTCTGTCCTGCTGAACCGTGGTAATAAAGAGGGGTTGGTCGCCAGGTTGCCCGTCTGAGTGAGAAGAATCTGTTTGGGAGACATAGTACCCGCCTCAGAAGGCATCCTCTGGTTTGTCATGGTATCCGCATCAGAAGGCATCCTCTGGTTTGTCATGGTATCCGCCTCAGAAGGCATCCTCTGGTTTGTCATGGTATCCGCATCAGAAGGCATTCTCTGGTTGGTCGTCATGGTATCCGCCTCAGAAGGCATCCTCTGGTTGGTCATGGTATCCGCCTCAGAAGGCATCCTCTGGTTGGTCGTCATGGTATCCGCCTCAGAAGGCATCCTCTGGTTTGTCATGGTATCCGCCTCAGAAGGCATCCTCTGGTTGGTCGTCATGGTATCCGCCTGAGAAGGCATCCTCTGGTTTGTCATGGTATCCGCCTCAGAAGGCATCCTCTGGTTGGTCGTCATGGTAACCGCCTCAGAAGGCATCCTCTGGTTTGTCATGGTATCCGCCTCAGAAGGCATCCTCTGGTTGGTCGTCATGGTATCCGCCTCAGAAGGCATCCTCTGGTTGGTCGTCATGGTATCCGCCTCAGAAGGCATCCTCTGGTTTGTCATGGTATCCGCCTCAGAAGGCATCCTCTGGTTGGTCGTCATGGTATCCGCCTCAGAAGGCATCCTCTGGTTGGTCGTCATGGTATCCGCCTCAGAAGGCATCCTCTGGTTGGTCGTCATGGTATCCGCCTGAGAAGGCATCCTCTGGTTGGTCATGGTATCCGCCTCAGAAGGTATCCTCTGGTTTGTCATGGTAACCGCCTCAGAAGGCATCCTCTGGTTTGTCATGGTATCCACCTCAGAAGGCATCCTCTGGTTTGTCATGGTAACCGCCTCAGAAGGCATCCTCTGGTTGGTCATGGTATCCGCCTCAGAAGGTATCCTCTGGTTTGTCATGGTATCCGCCTCAGAAGGCATCCTCTGGTTTGTCATGGTAACCGCCTCAGAAGGCATCCTCTGGTTTGTCATGGTAACCGCCTCAGAAGGCATCCTCTGGTTGGTCATGGTATCCGCCTCAGAAGGCATCCTCTGGTTGGTCGTCATGGTATCCGCCTCAGAAGGCATCCTCTGGTTGGTCGTCATGGTAACCGCCTCAGAAAGCATCCTCTGGTTGGTCGTCATGGTATCTGCCTCAGAAGGCATCCTCTGGTTGGTGGTCATGGTATCTGCCTCAGAAGGCATCCTCTGGTTGGTCGTCATGGTATCCGCCTCAGAAGGCATCCTCTGGTTGGTCGTCATGGTATCCGCCTCAGAAGGCATCCTCTGGTTGGTCGTCATGGTAACCGCCTCAGAAAGCATCCTCTGGTTGGTGGTCATGGTAACCGCCTCAGAAGGCATCCTTTGGTTGGTCATGGTATCCGCCTCAGAAGGCATCCTCTGGTTTGTCATGGTATCCGCCTCAGAAGGCATCCTCTGGTTGGTCATGGTATCCGCCTCAGAAGGCATCCTCTGGTTGGTCGTCATGGTATCCGCCTCAGAAGGCATCCTCTGGTTGGTCATGGTATCCGCCTCAGAAGGCATCCTCTGGTTTGTCATGGTATCCGCCTCAGAAGGCATCCTCTGGTTTGTCATGGTATCCGCCTCAGAAGGCATCCTCTGGTTTGTCATGGTATCCGCCTCAGAAGGCATCCTCTGGTTTGTCATGGTATCCGCCTCAGAAGGCATCCTCTGGTTGGTCATGGTACTGGCCTGGAATGTTAGAAACACAGACAGTTGTAACAGCTTAACAAGAAATTGAATGTGTCGAATGTTTTCTTATTTTCTTATTATTATAACTATATTTATAAATGAAAAGATTTGAAATTGTCTGTCTGTGGAACTGTGCGCCTGTCTTCTGTGCATTACTACACCTTTCATCTGGTTGCCATAACACATTTTGGGAAATCGATAAGAATATTATGGGGAAGTTTTCTGCGAAACAATGTTCGTTTTAAAGAGTACGATACAACATGGATACGGTGGTTACTATTATTTTTGACTAAATCAAATTTGTCGCGCCCGCCAGCATCGCGGGAATCGTATGCCTGTAGCGCCCATGACTCCTCAGTGAGCACTATGGCGCCGAGGTGTACTCTATCTCACTATTACCAGGAGTGATTAACATTCTTTCAAGTCTTTCTTACAGCATGCCCTGGGTGTGCATGGGCGGAAGTGTGGTCGAAACCTGAGCCGCAACAATTACAATCCTTGATATAATGCCTTCTTTGTTCATATTTCAATAACTGAGTTTTAAAAAACAAGATTAGCCGTCTAAAAATACAAAAATACACGATTGATAAGGCTGGATGAAATCATATTAAAACTTTGTGCTAGCATTCCTTCTGAGACCGCAGCAACGCTAGTGCCCGTTACGCTAGTGTTAAATAACAGTTTCTGTCAATTTGCCAATTGCTGGATTTGATTTAAGAGATCAATTTAAATGGTTCCATGACAAATGATCTCAGGACAAATGATCTCAGACAAAATATCTCAGACAAAATATCTCACGGACAAATGATCTCAGGACAAATGATCTCAGGACAAATTATCTCAAGGACAAATGATTTCACGGACAAAAGATACCAGGACAAAATATATCAGGACAAATGATCTCAGGACAAATTATCTCAAGGACAAATGATTTCACGGACAAAAGATACCAGGACAAAATATATCAGGACAAAAGATATCATGGACAAATGATCTCAGACAAAATATCTCAGACAAAATATCTCACAGCAAAATTTTAATAGTATGTACGATGATTTTAGTTGATTTGAACTTTTTTTTAATTTGAGTGTCAATATGGTTTTGTTTACTCTTTTTACGCATAATAATTGATTGTTATAAAATGAATGTGTTAAACTTAACAAACAAATGTGAATGGGTCTTCAGGTTCGTAACTTAAAACTGGTGTTTTTACTGCATCATCAACACAAACATAAAGTTTACGTTACTTTGCTGTCAGGTACATCGTTATGATCACACATTTCCAATACTATGTGATCATGTATTGTGTGAACTTTCGCTGTAGCCTACATGTTCTTACTTGACATTTCCAAATCTCTTTGCCTGCTGCTCTACTTATGGCTTTTATAAACAGAAATTCATTAGAAATTAATGCCCTATACCCTATCTGCGAGGTAATGAAAGAGGCCTTAGCTGGGTAATCACCACTAATACTGCTTTGTTTGCATGTAAGCTACGACAAACTTCGCTTCGCGATGCCCGCTCTCGTTTAAATAAGCATTTGTCACCTGATCACTAAGGTGTGAACGACGTATAACAATTGACATTGGATGCTTGTTTCGTCCACCTGACGTGGTAGGATTGTCTCATGTTTGTCAAGCCCACCTACCCTGTCTATCGAAACAAATTCTTTAATCTTCGCCATACTATATTAGTAATCTTAATTTTAAAATGCTTAGTAAAATAATGCAAATTTATACGGCAAACATTTCTTACAATTATTAAATAGGCCTATAAACAATATCAAACATAGTAACCCAAACCATATGACGGTCAATAAAAGAAATTGTTCAGATCAACTAAAAGTATCCAATACACTTTTAAAATTTTGCTGTGCGATATTTTGTCTGAGATATTTTGTCTGAGATCATTTGTCCATGATATCTTTTGTCCTGATATATTTTGTCCTGGTATCTTTTGTCCGTGAGATCATTTGTCTTTGAGATAATTTGTCCTGAGATCATTTGTCCGTGAGATATTTTGTCTGAGATATTTTGTCTGAGATATTTTGTCTGAGATATTTTGTCTGAGATCATTTGTCCATGATATCTTTTGTCCTGATATATTTTGTCCTGGTATCTTTTGTCCTGAGATCATTTGTCCTGAGATCATTTGTCCGTGAGATATTTTGTCTGAGATCATTTGTCCTGAGATCATTTGTCCTGTCACCATTTAAATATACGTATTATTGGTAAAACTATTTTTTTTCATAAAAATTGTTTTAATTACAAGCTTTTATGTAATAATGCATTACAAAGTAGAAAATAAATTATAGACTACTATTTAAATAACTATAAAGAAAAGCGTGGGTCACTTTAGTATCTATTGGATACCTTTACTAATGTTTAGGAAGAGACCAACGCTTTTCTTTATAGTTATTTAAATAGTAGTATATAATTTTTTTGCTACTTTTTAGTGCATTATTACATAAAAGCTTGTTATTAAAACGTTTTTATGACAGGTTTTTTTTTTAGTATTTTACTTGTTTTATTTACGCTAGAGTTGTATAACTAAAAACCATTTCGCACCTAATGAACGTGATGACGCGTGTCTAATAGTGCAGAATAGTTTAATGAGACAGCCTACTAATTTGGACAAAATTTTAATTAATTCATAAAAAATTATTTAGGCAACCAACTAAGTCAAATTTAATGACATGCTGCATTGTCTTCTTGTCTTGACCCACGTACCTACTACGAACCGTATCTGTAAGTTAGACGTGCTAAAATCTTGTAAAAATTAGAAATCAGTTATATTATAAGCTTACCTTCCAAAAGCTTGGCAAGAATATGTGCCCATCTAAGAAAACAAACCAAGTTAAATATTAATAATCAGTGGTTTTACAATAGGCTAAATTACACTGTCAGATGGCTAAATGTAGAGGCTCTAATGTTTTGCAGGACTAAAGTCATGCTAGAAGCATAAAATAAATACTATCATGCTAGCAGAACAATATAACTAGCATCATGCTAACAGTATATTTAAAAAGGATTTGCAAAAAGCGAGGGAATTTCGAACTTCGAGTAACCATTTTTTTTAAAAGTGGAAACATGGCCATAAATAAAGCAGATTTGGTTTAAAGTATAGGCCGGGTGTAATTTAGTCGAGGCGGCAGATAGTTTTTATTTACACATCTTAGTAGTGAGGAGACGGAGCTAAGCCCATGGAAAAATAACTGGAGTCATTGCGGCTGATGTGTTTTATATAAACGGACAGAGTTTAGTCAACGGGGAAGAAAGGGTTTAGTCATTGGGACAGATCGAGTGCAATCAATGTTACAAATAGGGTTTAGTCGATGGAACAGATGGGGTTTAGTCGATGGGGATGACAGTTTGTCCAATGGGACAAATAGGGTTTAGTCTATGGAATAGATGGGGTTTAGTCAATGGGGATGCTATTGTTTGTCCAATGGGGCAGATAGGATTAATCAGTGTGGGAAATATGATTTAGTCAACGGGGCAGATAGTGCATAGTAAATGGGGCAGATAAGGTTTTATCAATGGAGCAGATAACGTTTTATCAATGGGGCAGATAAGGTTTTATCAATGGAGCAGATAGGGTTTAGTCAACGGGGCATATAAGGTTTTATCAATGGGGCAGATAAATTTTATCAATGGAGCAGATAGGGTTTAGTCAACGGGGCATAAAAGGTTTTATTTTATCAATGGGGCAGATAAGGTTTTATCAATGGGGCAGATAAGGTTTTATCAATGGAGCAGATAGGGTTTAGTCAACGGGGCATATAAGGTTTTATCAATGGGGCAGATAAGGTTTTATCAATGGAGCAGATAGGGTTTAGTCAACGGGGCATATAAGGTTTTATCAATGGGGCAGATAAGGTTTTATCAATGGAGCAGATAAGGTTTTATCAATGGGGCAGATAGGGTTTAGTCAACGGGGCAGATAAGGTTTTATCAATGGGGCAGACAGGGTTTAGTCAACGGGGCAGAAAAGGTTAAGTGAATTGGGATGATAGGATTTAGAAAATTGGGCAGATAGTGTAGAGTAAATATAGCATAGTTTATCTGTTATCGTAATTTCGTAACTTAATTTTGGACAAAGGCTATGGAAGCAAATCCAAAAGAAAAGCTGGCTGAAATCTAAGTCAACCGCCTATATGGGGCATAACAAGTTGACACGTAATACTTAATTATGTCGGAGGGAATCCCTTCTGTTATGAGTTGTAACTTAGGTATTGCAAGTGTATGAGAATATGTAGAACGATGAGAATATGTGTGTTGTAGAATGATGAGAATATCTGTGTTGTAGAATGATGAGAATATGTGTGTTGTAGAATGATGAGAATATCTGTGTTGTAGAATGATGAGAATATCTGTGTTGTAGAATGATGAGAATATCTGTGTTGTAGAATGATGAGAATATCTGTGTTGTAGAATGATGAGAATATCTGTGTTGTAGAATGATGAGAATATCTGTGTTGTATAATGATGAGAATATCTGTGTTGTAGAATGATGAGAATATGTGTGTTGTAGAATGATGAGAATATCTGTGTTGTAGAATGATGAGAATATCTGTGTTGTAGAATGATGAGAATATATGTGTTGTAGAATGATGAGAATATCTGTGTTGTAGAATGATGAGAATATCTGTGTTGTAGAATGATGAGAATATGTGTGTTGTAGAATGATGAGAATATGTGTGTTGTAGAATGATGAGAATATCTGTGTTGTAGAATGATGAGAATATGTGTGTTGTAGAATGATGAGAATATGTGTGTTGTAGAATGATGAGAATATGTGTGTTGTAGAATGATGAGAATATGTGTGTTGTAGAATGATGAGAATATGTGTGTTGTAGAATGATGAGAATATCTGTGTTGTAGAATGATGAGAATATCTGTGTTGTAGAATGATGAGAATATGTGTGTTGTAGAATGATGAGAATATGTGTGTTGTAGAATGATGAGAATATGTGTGTTGTAGAATGATGA